GACATAAGACCAGAAATGAATTCTTGAAAATTGATCTTTAAAATATCCAATTTTTCACCTCCATCTATACCAATCAATGCTTTGACTAGTACTTGAAAAGCAATCTGAATATTTACATATTAAAAATAAAAATAAAAATTAAATTAACGATAATGTTGAAATTAGACATGTTTAAATATCCCAAACATAATTATAACAAATGACTTCACTTTAACTAACAACATAATTCATCAAGTTTTAGCATAAACTCCACGATTCAAGCCATAATTACTAACTTTCACTATAGGACAATGTATAACAAGTTAGTTTCAAGCTTGCAAAATATGGAATTAGCTACGAAATAATTTATCAGTAATTCCTAGTCAATTCATCACTGAAAAGCTCCTAGCTAATTAAATTTCTTTATAATTCATCCCTAATACGAAATTTTATCCATCGCTAATAGCATATGAAGTACTTTTAACATATAAGTTAAATCCCTTGCCGTACCAAAATATAAAACACTTGATTTGAAAAAATAGACAAGTGAGACTCTTATAAAATTGCTAATAAAATGTTACCGACAAGCCAAATTCCAATAAAATATTTGTTAAAATTAGCAATTTTCTGATAGTGCGAAAAAGAGAGGGGGAAAGTGAAACTAACATTTTTTGCTTGGTGTTGGATGTAGACAGGGCAATTTTCTTGCCAATTATCCATAGATTGTTGTACATATTTCTGCATGTCATGTGTAATTCTAGCTTTAATATGAGGAGATTTGAAAAAAGATCCAATTAGGCCATGGATTCTTCTTTGTAAACTTCCATTAATTAGCAAAATGGATGATTTTCCCATTAATTCAGTTAGAGATTTTGGATAAAAGGGCACAAAAGTCTTTGCATCACTTTGAAGAATACTTCGATTAACTTCTGCATCTGTTGAAATTATGGTTGGACTGCCAAATATATGTGACTTGAACACTTTTCCATACCTTCAAATAGCCAAAAATAAAATAATATTACACTAAATAATTAGTAATTTAATTAACAGAACATACTAATTACGACTCATTAATAGAGAAAATAAATTTGAAAGATAATGATCATATTATTACTCGTATAAATCAAGAATGTGTTTGATACGACAAAAGTTATTTTTACAGAAAATATTAATTTTCCGTTATTTTTGTATAGTACATCAATAACATATCCTTGTAGCCATAAAGTAGAAAACAGTTTGGCTAGTGATGAAAAAATATATTTTTTGAAAAAAATTTGACATTGAAGACAATAAGCTGGTTTAATTAATTGTTGGTCAAAGCTAAGTAATGTGAAGTTAATAAAAACTTAAGCTAATAATTACAAAACAATAAATTCCACTCATAAACGAGAGATCGATCATGTAAAATATTTTCCTTAAAAATGATTTTTTTTTCATATCAATCACTAAAAAAAAAATAGCTTTCTTGTGAAGAAATTAGCTACGGACAAATCTATAAAAAATGAAATTCATCACAAATCTCTCAAATAACAACATAGATATCTTATCAAAAAAAATTGTTAGTTGCGAGTATAAATTTAACGACAAAGTCCATAGCTAATTTTAGTTGTATAAAATGTAACGACTTACATGTGGCGACGTTTGTCCATGAAGGATTCAGGAGAATGAGTATAAGCAGAAGAAATATACTCTAAGGTTTCTCCAATGTAAGGCCATCCAAGATTTCCCAAAGGAAGTAGTGAAATCGTCATGTTTGATTTTGTGTATCGTTTCACTCTATGGCTGATGATGATGAATAGTTTCTTATGAAAAATGATGATAAAAACTGCAATTGCTAACAAACTCCAAATACTATAACTATACATCATTTTCTTTATTTTTTTCTAGGCAAAACTAGAGAATTTGTTTGAGACTAAAAATGGTTTTGTAGTGTTTTTGACTTGTGTTTGTAACGCCTTTCGTTATTATTTGTGTTTGGGGGGTTGGGGTGGGGGTGGGGGGGGGGGGGAGTAATTAAAGCAGAAAAAGTGTTTTTTTTTAGAATCTTGTACAATAATTGGAATTGGGTACTTGAGTTTAGAAAACTTTAATTTAGTCGGATTAGTCATGATGAAGACAAATATAATAAGGCATACATTAATTAAACCATACTTCCTCTGTCCCTAATTACTTGTCCATTTTTCCTTTTATAATTATCCCTAATTACTTGTCCATTTTGACAAATCAAGAAACGACAATTTTTTTTATCTATTGTACCCTCAATTAAATGACTAATTACTTTGAAAAATGTAAACTTTTCATCTGCTTCATAATTAATAGGGGTAAAATGGTAAACTCACTATGTCATTAATTGATTTCTTAATAGGTATGTCAATTCAATAGTGGACAAGTAATTAGGGGCAGAGGAAATATTTTATTTGCTATAAGAAAATAAAGAATTAGCAACGGACAAATTTTGTAGCATAACAATAAAAATCTCATGATAATCCCACCTAGTTATGGATTAACGACGAATCATTTGAAAAGCCAACTAGCTAAGAGCTATTTAGCAATAAGGATATTTAATTTAATGAGAAATTTCGTAGTTAATTTAATATTTTTTTAATAGTGATTATATATTCTTTGGAAATAATTAAGGTTGTTGGAGTTTGTTTGACGTGTGTGTTTACTTGTATAATTTTATACAAGTTTAAGTGTCTATTTGTTCACATTTAAAGTTGAAAGACGTACTTATAAAATGAGATCAAGTTAAAAGGCATATCGTAGACAACTGACTTTCATATATAGGCCATAGTTATTTTCAAGAATTGTCCCAAAGTGATCATGAGGAGGATCAATCTCTAGGTAAATCATGCCTAGCATCTATCTTGATTATGTGTAGACATCTTTAATAGTTTGGACCCACCATCAATTCATGCAATATTGATCATTAAAAGAGACTAGCCATATGATTGTATTGGTAAAAATGAAAAAAAAGTTAAGCTATAATAGATCCTACAATATTAAAACTATACACTAAAATATGTATAAATGTATAAAAGTAGAGGCCAGTGATTTGGTGGCCGCTTGTGTCGATTATTGGTCAAACTATACAGTTGCATGGTCATTAAGGAAACCATATATATATGTGTATATATCCCACAAAGCCAATTAGTTCCTTTTTCTCTGTGGTATCCGAATCGGTTTGTGCTCGATTTATTTTACCAGATACTTGACAAATATTGGATAACATACTTTTATCCTTCATAATATAGACAAAAAAAAAATTAGTATTTTTTTGTGCTTTCGTCAAAATTTGAATATGAAATTTCATTATTTTGTCCGTTTCATTAATCACTATGTCATACGAGATGCAATTTGTTAGTTTTAATTTAAACAAACAAAAATAAATTATAATATATATATATATATATATGGGAAGAATATTTTATTAAGTGGTCCAAAACTAACATGTAAAGGCAAATCAAATTCTTGGTAGGTACAAGGAGAAGTTTGTTAAGATATGTAAACTATATATTATACAAGTATATAGAATTAGTATCAAATAATAATACAAGTCCCTACGCTCATCATGATATATATGGGACACAATTGTGCCGGCATGTGAGTTTATTTTTTTAAGTACAAAGCCAACACTTTAACTATATATAATCATCATCATATTCAATACCCTACACAAGCCATGGCCAAACTTCTCTTCTAATTAATCTCATTCTTATCCTTAATTTCTTGATTTATACGTCTCTTATGAGTAATTAAGTACTAATTAAGATGCAAGACTAGCTAATCTTCTTTTACTCCCTCCGTTCCATTTTATATGTCACTTTTTTACTTTGCACTTGCATTAAGAAATGACGTAACTTTACCCTTCTACCCTTATTTAATGTTTTCTTAAGTCAATTTTATAATAAATGATGAATATATTTTCAAGATTTATCAGCTACTCTATCAAGGGTATAATAGGCAAAATATGGTAATTTATGCATAAATTTTATAAAATGACAAATCTTGTGGTTTAACTATTTATAGAAAAGGATGACATATAAAATGGGGCGGTAATACATATGTGATTTTAATTTTAATTAACATTGTCCCTTTGACTGTAATTATTAACTTTTGGTCTTTGGCTTTGATTATTTAAGAGTATTAAGTACCATGCCCCAATATTAATTAATTAAGTTCTTCTTTCCATGATTGTTCGAATGGCCTAACTGATTTAATTTGTTAATAATCATTAGTGTAAGCGTGTGCTTCATTCTAATGTCATCATTCCATTAAGTTCCTTTAGATACGTCTCCTTTTTATTTAAATTGTTATTGTTAGTAGTATATTAACCAAATCTTAGCTTGAAAACCGTTGGAGAGTATTATTTCTTGTACACTAGGTGTATATATATCCCATTAATTAATGCACTAAACTATGATTCTATCTTTTTCCTTGATAAATTAATACTACTAACTAAACTTTTTAATGAACTAAAGTTAGATGCATTATGCGCTGACGGCAATTATTGATTCGATACACTCATTTCGTGGAAGCTCAATTTCCGTTGCTAATACTCTTTGTTTCAATTGCTTTTGGTTTTTCTTTTAGTCCGTTTAAAAAAGAATGTCTTTTTCTTTTTTGACAACTCTTTAATTCTAACTTTTCGCATACATAGGCAATTCATCGTTACTTAAGAACATAGGATGGTTTATCGCTAAAATCCATCGCTATTTTCGCAATTTTTAGTGCTCCCATTGTTATGAAAAGAGCAAGAAGCTTAATATTGAGGCGGAATATTCTAACGCAGTCAAGAATCATTTTTGGAAACTGAGAGCCTCTTTTGCATTTGTTGGGATTTTGGACCCTGGCTCTTATTTGCTTGAGTTGACACTCTAATAGTCTCAACAACGATTACTGATGCTATTATTGCTACGTCTCAATCCCGAACTAGTTAGGAAACATCAATCTTCATATTTGTGTAAGAAAGTGTTCAAATGTATTTACAAATTTCTTGTCAATAACCAAATATTTGGAGATAGGGATTAGACATCACTTCATTGTCCAAGCAAATTCATTACTTCAACATGTGTTTATATTTGAAAAGCCAAAAAAAGATGAAAATCAAACCTGAGGATAAATTTTCATCCAAGCCTACGAGTATTGGAATTCGTCAGAGTAAAAAATTACAAAACTGGGATGGACTTGGCTCGAATAAAGTGCTTGAGAATGGCTTTCTCCTCATCAATGCGCTTTTTCTCCTCTTGATCTTTTGGCTTAACTCTTCTCTTTTCTTCCAACATCCACTTAAATAGTTCACGCTGTTGATTCTCGGGTATTGGTTCTCGTACAATCACAGGCTGAAGAGTAGGTGTAGCAGTGACTTCCTTTTCCTTTTCACTAACTGTGCTAGCAGCTACTGTTGAAATAGAGGCGCCAGGAACATCTAATATTTCTGCTTCCTCAGTTCCCACATCCTTTTTCTTTGTCCTCATGAAAAGGTAAGCTACACAAATCACAAAAACAGATGGAAATACCACGAATGTAAAAGCAAGTTTACGGAATTCTGAAAAGAGAACTGTAAAGACCGGCAGCAAATAGCTGTCCAGGTAGCATAAGGTTGTGAGCATGGCAAGGGGATACAGGAAAGAAACATGCTACTCTACAAGTTAACAATGTAACATGGAAATGAGAGACAGAAAAAGAAGCAATGATTATTAACTTGAACTAATATTTCTGTTCTTTTAAAAACTAATTGAGACAAATAAAGCAGGAAGATCAATTTATTGACCTTTTGTTTCTTCTTACCAGTAACAATTACAGCACAAGAAGATGACATAAACATTCCGTATTAACATCACATGTTTACACTAAACAAATATAGTGCACACAAAGGAGTTCCACTTGTATGCATTTCTAGAAGAACATTATCGCCATCACTAGGAGAGTAGAATTACGCAAAAAGATAGAGCAGCACAAGGACTACTAGCCAAGCAGTAGATCTTAGTTCACAGTACATCCAGTTTCATACAATTCCATTCCATATTAAAATATAATCATGAGTAATGTGCAGCACCAAAGAAAAACAGTTACAAACTATGCTTACTTCTTTTACAAGTTTAGCATGGCGTTGATTGCAGAAACTTCCAAGTGAAAGTTCTGGACCTTCACCTTATGGTAGGTCAAATCTAAAAGAGAATCACTGTTTAGAGCATAGATGAAATTAAAGCCAAATAACAGTTGCAGCATGGAAGTTAGAAATGGGAATCAGAGCTGAACATGTGCTTTAACAAAGTTTGGTGGACTCGATCAATATTGCTTGCTTCTAAATTATTAATTGTCCTTGCTAAAACTAACTTAATAAAGAGATACAGTACAATTAAAACTTATGAATATTTTCTTTAAGCACAGTCATACTACTGGACTATTTACCGTGAGTCATATGTTGCTCAGAGTCTCCAAAAATGTTGCCACACACATGTCAGATCCTCCAATTGGCACTAGTTTTGGAGGGTCCGACACGTAACTCTCGACATTATTGAAGAGTCCAAGCAAATAGACTGTGACTATGGTTCCATTTTACAAGGATATGTCTGTTTTGACAATTTCCATCACTGCTAATAACAACTTTTGGAAAGTTCTTGTCACGATTCCAAAACAATCAGTACATTTCTGATGATCATTTGGCCCCTTTGACCAAAATAATCTGCACCAGATTTGGACCACACAACTTTCATTCAACCATCATAAATCAGATGGAATAAACCAGCTGGATTACACCATTCAAGACATTCATGTTTGAAACCATGGTATTCAAAGTACTCGAGTTCGTAAAGTTATAATATCACTATAAAAGAGTAGAAATGATCCTCCACCAAAGGTATCTTACTCCTCCATAATGATGGCAACGAACATGATGCATGAACTGCTTGGTAAGTTTTCTATTGTACGTGGGGATGCAGGAAAATATATTCCAAAGAAGGTACAAAACACAAAGGCTTTACAAAAAAACTGTCATGTCATCTTCACTGATAGTGCAGTTTTCAACCGTATACGTTCAGACATTCTTGGGTAGTATTTCAAGACCCCTCCATGTCGTACTTCCCTCTCTTACCCTACATGTGAGAATTATTTTCCTCTTTAGTGCAGAAGGGCAAGGTGAAGGCTTTTTAGACTAAAGATGGTTGCATTACTAGTTATTTATATCAGTCCGTTCGGATTTAAACCTTTTTGGTTTAGGACTCTAAATGGATCACATCATTCAAAATTCAGAACAACCAATATGGTGCTTGACACATAAGCAACAGAACTTATGTTTATTGTTTGTGGCTTGTGGTGTCACATAACAATCACAAAACACTCAAACTAAAAATGAGGAAAACTGTGTCTATTGACATACAACAAGAACCCAAAATGAAGAGAAAGCAAACCAATTTAGAGAAACAATGGAACAGGGAAGGTTGCAAGAAAGATAAGAAAATGACTAGTGAGTTCAAGGATGACTGGAGGTTTCTCCCATTTGTAAATCATTTTCTTTTAAATCTGACAGCTGCTGTAACAATGACATAGTTACTCTAGGCCTATTGGAACATTACTCTGTATCATCTCTTCAGTAATTTACCTAATCAAAGCTACTTACCCTGCCGCCTAAGGAACAAGGATAAGTACGCATCTAGAATGGATTCTCAAAGAAAAGAAAACTTTTCTGAATTATGGAAATGACAGTATGAGATATAAGCCACGCCCTAATTGAATTATGAAAAAGAAAATAAGCTAAAGACTGAAATTTGTCTACTAATACTATAAAGAAACTCGAATACTAAATAGAAGTTCCATGACTATCAACTTTTTCCAACACTCTGCATCCTTTCCCCAGAGACTTTCCTTAAACAAGACTTGATTGCATTTTCTAAGGTGAACTCCAATTTCAGCATAACTGTTTAAGAGTAGATCTTAGACCTAACTCAACCCCAAAAGCTAGCTTATGAAGGAGGATGGCCCAAGACCATATGGGGAGACCAAATTCCATTGTGATGTGGCACTCCAACACTCCCAGGACTGGACATCTAAAGCATGGACAATATAAGACAAGGGGACCAATGTCGAAAACAACGAAAGGGTATGAGTTTAACTCTCATACCATGTTAAAGAATGGATCTTGAGTCTGACTCAACACCAAAAACTAACTTATGAATTGCCTACACCATATAAGAGACCAAATTCCCATCCCACAAACACATGGGACTCCAACAATAACATCACCATAGCAGACATGGAATGAAATTACAACATATAAAGCAGATCCTCAAAAATGCCCAAGTCAATTTCAAAAAGCTCGGAACCTTATAATGAAATTAAAAAGGCATTATCCAACAATGGAAAAAAACGAAGAGTAAAAGAGTAACCTCCAATAGAGAAATTGACAACCAAAAGCATAGGCCATAGGTACTTATAACGGCGAATAAAGGATTCCTTAGGCGGCTGAGGAGGTGGAGCCGCACCGCGCGCCATAGATGACGGCACCGTCGGCGCCGACACCGGCGTCGGAGAAGATGCCTGTTGTTGCTGAATTTGCTTCAGCTGCGCTGTAAATCCGAATAGAAACGGATATTATTATTTTAAAAAATGTCATTCTTATAGGAGATTCTTCTCGATTGAGAAAATAATTCAGCGATTACCTTTCTTAGGTTTATTATAGTATAATTTTGGAGACACAGCCATTACGTCTTTTCTATAGCTTCCTTCTTTCCTCTTTACTCTGCTGAAAATTCACACTGTTTACAGTCTTCAGTCGCCGGCCGTCGTTTCTTCTTCTTCTTCTTCTTCTTCCCGTTGAGGTAAATTACGGCAGTCGCCATAAAACGACGACGTGGTAACCCAGACTTGAAAAAATAAAAACAAATTAATTAAAACAAAATGCAGAGAATTTGCTCTTTTAATCCTTGAAATAAAGGCAAATTCTGAGTTTCGTCCTTATGATGTCTAATTAATATATTTAATCTATAATTAATTCAAATATTCAATTTTGATAATTTATTTGTGAATTTATGCAAATTTAATAAAGGGATTGTAACACTTTGGCCATCTTTCATTAATTTTAATTTTGATTCCTTGTAATGTATAACTAAGCATATTCGATCTTTAATTATAAATGTGTTTTTTTATAATTAAGAAGTATTTATATTGTCCATCTTATAAATTTATACTCAATATATTGAGGATATAATTAAGCTACAATAATGATCGTTACTATGCTTTTGAGTAAATTTGAATTGGTTATATGTGAATCATCACAAATCATATTTATCTATTTCAATTCATCTCATATCAAACGAGACTATAATTACTCGAACTGTTCTCCTATTTTTGTTGAATGCAGGCACCTCCTAAGCAAGTTGTTTAATCCACTAGTGAATCATGTGTACAAAGAGCAAAACTTAGTTGTTGATCAACTAGCATGTCTTGGTACAAAACTGACATGCTAGGACATTCGAATCTTCGAGTAACCTCTTACTTTTGTTAGCGATCTCATGAAGGAAGATCAACAAGATGCTTTACAAACAAGAGCCATAAATTCAGCAGCAATGTCAAGCCATGGAACATCATTTTTTTTCTTTTTATAGTATTAACAATTGTGAAAATAGATAGTACTGAAGATATCTTGTATAATGTTGACGGACATACGTTTTATCTTATCTATCAAAAAAAGAAAGAAAGAATTGCCATGTTATCGATTTCTCCCCATCCCTTAATATATATAATTACAGAAGTAGATCAAATTATAACCTGAAGAAGTTATGGGACCTTTTTTTACAATTGCAACAAGTTAGGGGTGTTGTTAGAATTAACCCTAACAAACACTCCAGTTACTAAACGGACTAAATGCCGCGGAATACAATTTATCCTTTGAAGATATGTTGTCCCGCGAGTAGCTGAAGAATTACTGTAATTCAACAATGGCGATTCTTCTTCCTTTGTTCTCCATATCCCCAATTGTAAAAGCTTCTTCAGTTGACACAACCCAAAGACTTCCGTACACTCCTCACCGTACAACTCCTAAAAAAACCCAAACCCCTGATTCTCTATCCGCCATTTCAACTATCTCCTTGTCCCCTTCTACCAGCCGGTCGAATATTTCAGTGTCGGACCTTCTCAAACGTGAAATTCCTAAGTCTACGGAAGGTACTAAACGACTAATTGCTTTCTCTTTTGTGCATAGTTTGATTTTGTGCTTTGTATTTTATACATGTTGATGTTATATTTTGTCATGTAAATAGTGAAACGCGATGGAACATATATGGGGTACGACGTATGGCTACCTAGAGCACACAAAGTTGAGAAGCCTCGGTCTGTGTTTAATGCAGCCTCGCTAGCTTACATTGGAGATTGCATCTTTGAGGTTCTGATTCACTCTTATACTTGTAGATTATTGTCAATTTATTATTTTTTTTTTGTGTGAAAAACATAGGAGTACTAAATTTGGAGTATTATTGGAATATTATTGAAGTGATACTCATCAGTGAGAATTCTTTTATGCCATTTTTATTTTGGATTGATATAGAGGAGAGAATTAAGTTTGAGTCATACTGTTAGGTGAGAGGTCCAGTAGCTATATGTGTCACTCACTCATGCGAGAAGTTCGAAAATGTTTTACCTGATGAGGAACAGCCTCCAAAATGGCAAACTTAGGTGGAATAGTAGCATCCAATATCTGGATCTCAGACTAGGAATTTGCAAAATCTCTCATCTAACACTTAGTTGGGGAAAAAACCTCATTACTTTCGTATAGTAACGATTTAAACTCATTTAGAGGTTACATTTAGTTTTGCTTTTGGGCATACTATTGTTTAGATGTAATAAAACTTCAACTATTGCGGTAATATCTGTGTCTGATAACTTGATACGATAGGAGATATTACTTTTAAAAAGATGGCAAGCTTGGACCAGGACAAACATGTAACCTTCTTAACTCTACAAGCTGCTTAGGGTAGATTTTCCGCGTTCTCTGTGACATTCATAAAGACAAGTTCCAACCATGTGTAGGAAGTAGATGTGCATGTGAAAATACCCGTGTTTTCTTTTCTCTTTGTAGTGCATTGTGACATCTTTAAGGGCAACTTTTTACCTCTACGTAGGAAGTAGATAAGCAAAATTGGTATTTACATTTCTGTTCCTAGAGTCACTTGCATTAATGGTGGGTACAACTCCAGTATCTTCTATTGGAAATTTGAATGATTGGTTTCTATTGGGAACATAAGATTTTCTTGAATTACTTGTAGTAGTTATGTATAAAAGTTACAGTATCAAAATTGAAGAGTCAATAGGGATGTAACTTAGAAAATGTATATCTAATTTTGTTGAGCCTTCGATGTGCAGCTATATGCAAGAAGACATTTTTTGTTCCCACCATTGAGCATCGAAGAGTACAATGATCGAGTCATGGCAGTAGTACGTTGCGAGGCACAAGTATGGCTACCTTACAAGTTTTAAGACCTGATGAAGATTCATTCTATTGATATATGCTTTCTATGATTTTCTTATATGATGTCTCCCTCAAGGGAGAAATCTGTTTTAAGAGTACTTATTGATGTCTGCCATAAGAGACAAATATGTTTTAGGATCATCTTGATAATCCTTTTATATCCTCTTTATGGATTTATATGGGGATCAAAACTCTTGAAGTTTTGGTTCCCTTTCCCTCCACAATTATGGAAATCTTTCACGGCTAGTTACATGCTTTGAGATTTTAAAATAGAAAAAGATATCAGGGATGATTTTACTGCATAATATGTGAAATCTTTTGTATTTACTTGCATGACAACTGGGTATACATGCTTTGAAATGTTAAGAATTCACTCTTTCTGCTGCACACTTGTTTTAAGATGACCCCTTTTATCTTTCATCAAAAAACAAAAAAAAAAACTCTTTTATCTCAATTACCTAGGTTTCTATTTGAGGAGTTGTTCTTCTTGATAGGTATCTGAGAAGGTATTAAGACAGAACAATTCAAGAATATCACTTCCCCCCCCCCCCCCCCCCCCCAAACCCCTACTTCCGGAAACTTTTTTCCTTTGAAACACTTCCTTGGACATGGACCTTTGAGGTCTTACTGTGTGTGATGATACTTGGTTGAATATGTATGATACTTTATTGCAGGATGCTATGTTGCAGAAACTTTTGAACGACAATATATTGTCCGAAGAGGAAAGGTAGATATATTGCATTTGAGCTGGTTTCCTTTCCTTTTGGATGTTCATCTGTGATTTACATGTGAATGAGTCCTCATCTTAGAAATTTGCGGGTATCTCAAGTTTTGTTGTGCTGACAGATTTATAATATAAGAAATAGAGTGCAAGCTGGTCAGGCACCATTGTCATTAAAAACAAAGTTCCCTAAGAGAGCAACTTTCTCCTTCTTCAAACAAGCCCAAGTTAGCTTTTTCTTATACTCAATAGACATAAATATCCATGAAGTTAACTTTAATGCTTTATATATTCCTATCTTGTAGTCAAGCCTTCATCCTGTGTTGACACTTACCCTTTTGAAATATGCTTCTTGTGGCAAATATTTTATGGCTTACAACTGTTTTGAAAAGTAGCTAGTGCCAAACAGATGATAAAACATGGGCTACATGAACAATTTGCTTGTTGAAGCCGGATCACTCATGCTGTTTTTTCTAATAAAATCCAACTCTTGAAGGAGGGTAATTATATTAATGTTGCATGGCCATAGATAAGTCGTTTGACAAATTGAAAAAATAATTAATCTTATTGGTGAACATGATAAATATATTTGGCAAATTTATGGCTTCTATTCTCAGCCGAGTTCAGCATTCCTTTTTTCTTTTTCAACCTAATAGGAATTCAACAATTGGTCAATAGCCTCTTACATTACATTAAATCGTAATTGTTGATTTCATGGATGAATTTTTTGGGGGATGGCTGTTAGGCATCTAAATTGACATGTCTCAATCCTTTAAATGTATTGTTTAATTTAACCCCACTAAACCACAAAAGAAGTGTTACTAGTAAAGAAAACAAAACCTCCTCTTTACCATGTGATTTTGACCATATATGTTTTTCCATGTTAAAAGGGGTGTGCTTCGTTGGGGAAAAAATGTTGGTTCAGGCAAAACAAAGACGAAAAAGCGTGCTGGTGTGGCTGTTTACAACAGAGCGTCTTCACTTGAAACACTTGTCAGTTTCTTCTACCATCTGTTAAGAATATTGAATTAACTGCTTTATCTGTTCTTCATCTGCTGATTGCCTGAAGCTGATGAAATGTTTTTGGGAGGTGCAATCTTCAGTATACATGTGATTTTCTTCACTTAAAAATTAAATTTTGTGTAGTTTTTTCTCTTGTAGGTTGGTTATCTCTACCTTACAAATGTGCAAAGGCTTGAAGAAATCATGCTGAAGTTGGGCTTCCACATAGGTGACTCTTCCCTGCCAATTGTGGAGAGAATAGATGGTAAGCTGTTTCTACTTTCTTTGGCTCTAAAATTTTAGCAATTAAGCCCATTTCTCTATCACCCGTCTAGCCCACCCATATTTATGCAGGCTGATTGAATGATATCCAAAAATGGGTTTATGAGTTGAGCCCATAATTATCCCGTGACAAACTTGGTTCAGATGGTTTTTATCATGACAAAATGGGTTCCACATTGTGGGTTGGTGAATTTGGGTTTTGGTATTATGTTTATAGCTTCTTCTTCAGAAAGAAGTCCTCTATTCTTTCGGTAGTCACTTTGGCCTTTTATTTGGTTCTTTTTCTTTCTTTCAAAGCATACTTTAAGAATCTCGAGGCGTTAAGATGCAAAGTGGGTAAAAATCTAAAACAGATTCGACCTGAGAATTTTGATATGCACTCTCCCTAATATTATTCAAATGAAATTGAAACATTTAAAATTAACTTAGATACTCTCATGGATTAATAAAATTACTTGGTGACTAAAAAGAATACCAATGGCAAAAATGAATACAGACTTGAAGTAGACAACCACCTTAACTTTTGAAAATATTTTGTGTGCTACAGTAAATTTGTGCATGTTGTGTGAGTAGAACCTTGGGCTTTATAATTCTAGAAGCATTTACTGGTTGCCAAGTATATTTTGTTAGATGAAGATTTTTTTTTCCTAACTGCCGCTTCCCTGCTAAGAGAACACTATCAATATTTCCCGCATAAATTCTTCCCCAGTTTCCCCCTGCTTTTCTGTTTGACTTCTGCAAGTGACTAACAGTTGCAACAGTGGTTCTCCTGCTGAAACAATTCTTAGACAGTTTTAAAATCACATCTTTTTTCAATGAAATCCACCACATCTTAGGCCTAGTTCTGTTGTCTTACTTGAGTTCATTCGTAGCACATGGAAACCAGTTCTGAAGTGAGATACATTTGCTCCTTTGGTTTCAAAATTATGGCCATTTACAGTGAATACTAACTTACATACTCCTAAATGAAAGTCCTTTTCCTTATTCATTCTCCTTCTTTTGTTCCTTTTCTGCCTGTATGTAGAAAATATATTGGCTCTTTTTGGTCCTCAAATTTCCTTTTAACCTCTCTTCCCTGCAGAGAGTGGGGAAGGATGGGTGTTTCAGTGGATGTCCATTCTTTGACATTATATCCTGAGTCTTTATCCAAAATTAGTACTCCGTCCGTCCCATTTTATGTGAGGTACTTTGACTCGGCACGGAGTTTAAGAAAGAAAGGAAGACTTTTAAAACTTGTGGTCCAAAATGAATGATAGAAATTTGTGTGGCTGTAAATCATTTCAGTAAGGGTAAAATAGACATTTATAGTTAAATTGTTACTTAATATAGAAATGTGTCATTCTTTTTGGGATTGACTAAAAAGGAAAGTAAGTCACATAATTTGGGACAGAGGGAGTAGTATAAATCACTGTGTCATGAATCTCTAGGGATTCTTCATTTCTCTCTCTCTCTGTAGCACATGCAGTTATTTATACTCGAGCTGGCTCAGGGTCAACTGATACGAGCCTGCTGAAGATAAAACCAAGCAGATCCCAGTCACTTGAATCTAGATTGTTATTTACCTATGCCATTGATGATATTACATTCCAAGGTTCAGGATTCTTGATTTTGAGTTATTCCAAAGTTGCTGAAAGTGACAGATTTTGCACCTAAAACGGGAATTTTGAGGTCATACATGCAATTTCTACTCTTAATCCAATGGATTGAACATTTTAAAATTTGTTGAAAAATGGAAGACATGAGTCACTATTCTGCCCACATCATTCTGTTTTTTCCTTCACACATAAATTAGTGAAATATTCTCCGATGATAGTTTGTTTGTTGAAGAACTTAAAGCTATCTACAGAAGTTGTACATAGCTAAATTTTAAGCTTTGTTCCATTGAAGATGGTCCCCCCCACCCCAAGACCAATACACTTTTTCTTTATATGACATTGAGGATGGGATGACTTCTGGAATTGACTCGTATTTTCATCTTATATGTGACCCATTTCCAAGGGGCATATGATATGTCCTTTTCCTTTAAGTAAGATTATCACAAAATTGAAAGACTAATTTATGTGCCTACTTGTCGTTAAAAACTATATTTACCTGTTCATGTTGAACGCTAGTCGCTAGGCCCTTGCTATCTTCCTCTTCTTTTTTTTCTGGGTTACGGCATAGATTCTGCCTTTTCATGTTATTTGCTCGTTGCTTTTTTCTTCTCTTTTTGTATTCACTGATGGTTACAACAGCTGAATTTTTGTTATCAGATAGATGGTGGAACTTCTTTTTTTTTTGCCATTGGTTAGTGCAGGCTATTGTGTTGCCATTTTGTATATACACCATATAGGAAAGATGTAAAAGTGCCCTAGTAATTGGTATGTGTGCATGATAAACTGGTTCTCACTATTTTCTTTTCAATATCATCCATGCTCCGTGCCTGGAACCGTTGTTTAGACTGGGGGATATAATCTTGTTTATTTTTAATATATTAATATTTTTTAATTTGACAAATATTGCATGTCATAGGTACAACAAGGTGATGCCGGAGGAAGAGATGAAGTTCATGAAGCTATATGTAGATAAAGAAGACGAACATTTCCTATAGCATGCTGAAACAAATGAGTTTCTCAAAAAAAAACAAAGTTTGTGGAGACTTGAGGAAGGTTGCCATCACCTCTTCATGTGCTCTATCATTTAAATATCACAAGATCTTGGATGTGAGTGGACTTCTAGTATTTCAAAGCTTAGAAAGAAAATAAGAAGTCGTATTAGTTGTTCTTAAATGGAGAAACATTTAGAAAAGAAGTCGTATTAGTTCTTAAATGGAGAAACATTTAGACTTACAATACAGATATGATCTCCACTTGAGTACTTGTCAAAAGTTATACGCATCATCAGCTAAATGGATTTAGGTATGTGTTTAGATTACTCATTCACGGTTGTCAGTTATGAGGGTAAATGTGTACATGGACACGTTTATAAGCAACTATGTTTATATCAGGTCCATTTGTCATGTAATATGCGTTAAGCTTGAATTGTGGAAAGAATAATTTGAGGCTTTCTATTTTTCACCATCTGCATTTCCTCTCCTGCCATTTCTTATCTGTCCATTAGTTTCTTCTACTTCCCTTTGTTGATAGGCCATGAAAGCGGCTGGAGATATGAACCTACACCATTCCATCTTAACAGTCATGGCTGGAGAATATTATAAATTGATTTTCAGTTTTTCTCCTTTTTTTCTGTCATCTTCCTGACATACAGGGAGAACAACAAGAACATGATGCACGGCGATGTGGCTACTCAGGTTCTTTGTCTGTCCCCTATAGAGATAGTACTTATTTTGCTTACCACAAGCCTACTTTTGTACAGGTTTTGTGAACTTTTGCCTTGGTCTCAAATTCTTAGTAGAAAATTGTCTCTCTGTAGTCTTAACATTAGCAATATATCATCTGATCTCTATACTCAATGTGATACTCATCAAATGAAATTGCAATGCCTGTAATGAACTTGTGATATACTTTATTGATCAAGACCCCGATAGTGAACAGTATCTCTGTGCAAGTTAGTGCACTGAAACTTTGTTGCATTTTTTACAATGTGGTGTGGCTATGATATATGTAAAGGAAATGACGCATAAACAAGTCTTTTCTTGCTTAATGACAAGAGAGTTCTAGCATTAATTTGCAGTCCACTAAGTTACAGTGTTGACTTAATTTGTTTGACAAAACGTGAGGAAGAAGGCCATTTTCTTGGGGGATATATGCCTGTGCCAAACACTTAAAACTGAGTTTCCAGTCAGCTCAATACCTGAATTTGAAATTCGTTGTTGCCTCAGTGATTATTATTGTTTTATTTTATTTTTTGGCGCATTATTTTCAACTGGGGAACGTGTAGCAGAAGTGATATAATGAAAAATTTGAGCTTCAACCTGGTAGAGTTGCATTATTAAGCAGCATTACTGTTAGATTGAGTTTTTTTTTTCCCTGACTTGTTCACTTACTAGGTGAAAATGAAAAGCCAAAGGTCAAGGAGGAGGAAAGTGCAGACAAATGACATAAATTGTGAGTAAGGAGAGGAATTACTAGGAAATCGAATCCTGACCAACAAATTGGAAGTTCAAATAGCCAATCACTGAACTATAATATTAGGATCAAGCGTTTATTATCATGTCAAAAGCTATAGCTGATAGCAAATGCGCAACTTTATTTCTTAACTAAGTTCATCAAGCAAGCGTCATGTTCAATCATGACTCCAATCCAAGTCACCCAGCCTTTCTTGGGCCTTGCTATAGGCAGAATGTTAACATTACTCAACATATAAAAATGTAAGTAGTAGATAAATATAGTCTTTTAAGTGACCAAACATGAAATGGAGATGCCAAAGTTGACAATGATCGGACAGGGATGGACGTGGAAATATTTGTCGAAAAGCATTCCTTCTTTCCCAAAAAGAAGTGTTTATCTCATTTTTAATATCCATACAGATCCTTGAAGAATTCTGTGGAGTATAATATTGGCAAATATATATTAAAAATTAATATTTCTCGTCAACATCTTTTTTTGGTTCAATCAACAGAATTTATGCCATGACAAGGAATCGACTTTTTGAAATGGATTAAATTGGGCCCATTTGATTGTGGTATCTTGATATGGATAAACACTTTTGAACCCCAAGTGTATGTGGCAACCCAATCCATTAACACTAGGATAACACTTTCATTTGGGAGGACAACATTTTTTCTTACTTAGATTCTAAAATAGCATATTATTTTAAATAATATTTGGATTGAGACGTGTCTAAATGGAGTAACATACTGTAAACTTCATATATTAGCGAATGCTATCTTATCTTGTTTAGAATTGAGTCGTAGTTATTGTTATTGTTAGTTCCGTCCATATATAGAACAATGTATCTAATCTATGTTGCTTCTCTTAATGGAGATGAGAAGTCCAACAAGGCAAAAAACCCAAAGGTCTTTTCTTGTATGACTAGGATGATATAAGTTTTATCCATTCCAATATATTCAATTGATGAGTTCTTCAAGTGGATCATGGAAGAAAGCAATTGAGGGTTTGCCAATTATTTAATACGGTGATTGAACAAGTAATACATGGCTGCCATCAACAGTACTAACATTGAAGATTCATAAAGAAGAATAAGAACAAAATGTTTAAAAAGATTTGGTTCCTAGTTTATCTTTTAATTTTGATTTTAGGACATTAAACCTTTTGGTTTTACGCTAGTTGTTAGACTCCCACGACTCATCTTTTTTATTCAAATTTGGGATCGATAATATGAAGTACAAATTTCAATCTTGCAATTAGGAGTGTAAATTGTAACTTACTGGTCAATGAAGTAAGTGAAAATTATGGGGAGATTAGAGTTCAAATTTTTGCAAAGACAAAATATTAGGTGATTTTTTCATCTATCTAAGTTTTGATGGATAAAATTACTTGATATTTATGCTAATGATTAGAACATAACAAATATCTAATAAAATAATTGAGATATACGTAAATTGGAACGATAATTACAAAAAGACGTGTGAAAAATAAAAATTGAAAATAGAATGGTAGGGTCCCAGCAGACGGATAATATCTCATAAGTCTGATTGAAGAAAAATTGCTCCACACCCCTAATTTCATACTTCATGATCACCATATATCCAAAAGGTAGTTGGTTTTTGAAAAATTGGGTTCTTACATGATCACTCGATTAATAATTTTATAAGGTCATGTTTTTTTGTTAAATAAAATTAAAATCATGAATTTAGATAATTTTATGAGATAATAATAATTAATTTAATAACCCTATAAGAAATTAAGTCGATTATTGAAAGTCTCGAACACAGCGGAAACAATTAGAGTTTGATGAGTCTATTTTCATTTCATGGACCCCTTTATAAGTGGTTAAAACAGGCAGCATAGACCCAATGCCTACTACAACATGAGTTTTGGTCCAATTATTTTAACCAATCATTTTATTATATTCCTCCTCACCCCATCATTAATTGGTGAATTTGGACATGCATGTGCACTATTTTTTCAACACTCTACACAACATTATTTACATTAAATTTACATATATAATGGATGTGTATTATACATATTATCTTCGATATATATCTATTTTAAAGCAAATTAAAAATACATATAACATAATTAAACGAAATTTTACTTTATGAATTTCACTGAATATATTATTGCAGAGTAGTAGTATTTAAACAAAGTCCACACTCCAAACTTATTGCTACAAAAGAGTCGCAAGTGTAATGATATTCTGCATGACCCTACTTTGATCCTCAAAGTTAATTAGATCTTACTATATTGTCATGGACATTAATTAGGGTAACACTAACAGATTAATTAAGTCATTAAAATAAATTTTATGCTTTAACATGAAGCGTCTGCTTTTAAATATTATTAGACATCATCATTTGCATCTTATTAATTAGATGAATGTATATAATATGGTCAGTTGCTTATCCTAAACAGTAAATATTCGCATTAGTTTTTGGTAATGATGTGACTGGCCAAGGCAATTTAATTTGAGAATTATTGATCAGAAACAGTTTATGTACCTCAAAAAATAGGAATCTTTTAAATTCATTTATAAAATTATATTAAATATATTATTATTATTATTATTATTATTGTTATTCAACTATAGATTTGAACGTATAGTAATGACCACCGGATAGTTAAAGTGTGTTTCATAGTTCATGTAGAAAATTTACACATATGATAGTTTAGATATGAAACTTAAAAATCAAAATATTGACTCTTGCTTTTATATAATACTCTCATAGACCTTTTTAAATACTCTATTAAGAAAATTAGAGCATGATAGGACATTAGATCAATAATTACCTTCACATCAATCCATCAAGATTCAAGGTATTTCATTGATGGAAAATATAAAAATTAAAATCTCCTTTTGTGATTTTATTTATTAAGGGTCACTTTCCTTATAGTGAAAGCTACATTCATCCCTTAGACAACAATTACGGTATGTCATAATTAGCACTCCCAAATTAATAACCACTCCATTTATTTCATTTACATTCTGTTTTTCTTTTACTCCCCGGGCTCTGTTTCAATTTATGTGACACTTTTATTTTTCGTGAGTCAAACAGTTTAAGTTTGACAAAAAATTTGCGCGTGAAATCTTCAAATTTTTGAAAATGAAATTTAATATTTGTAAACTATATAAAAAGTATTATAAGTCACAATGATTGACAATCTAAAATAATTTTGTTGTGGCTTCAATTTTCATTTCCATCATTTCCTTTCCCAACTAGCTTAAATATTTTCGATATTTGATCAATTTAACAAAATTATTGTAGAGGGAGGATGCCCGACAAAATCTTGGCTTTGGATAAGATCCTCGTCAAAAATTGTGATATATATATATAAAAAAAATTAAAATTCACACGTAGCTATAAGTCTATAACCAGCTTGCAAGATAAGAGATAGCAATTATCTCCCAACTTTATTCTTATTTTCCAACTTTTTCAATTATTCATATATTCACTTCATACAAATCCCATTCTATTTTCTAATCTTACTTCCCAAAAAGTTTATATTCTTTTTTAAAAAATAAAATATATTTAATATTTATTTATCTTTTTCTTAGAAATATCCCATTTAATACATACATTTTTGGTATTATATTTATTTTCTTACATAGAAATAGTAGTCACTATTTTTGGTATGCAACTTGACCCTTTTAACGTGACCCACACAATTTCTCCTCGGATCTATGCTCAAAATAGAGAGGCCCATGGGCCCAAGAGGAAGTGGGCCAGTAATATCATGGCAAGGCCTGACCCATCTATAGTAAGTTCAAGCTATTGGGTAAATTTGGTTTGGCCTTTTACTCCATCGTCTTTTTCTTTCTCTAAATTAGTTGATTATCTAAACTTTCACCTTGTTGGTACGAGTCTCAAATTAGATGTTTTTTTACTTTTCTCAAATAGTTATCAGGATTGATAAAGGAAAGATCTCCTACGTTTAGTTATAATTTAATTAGAAAAAAACAATCATACAGAAGATCAACTTTCTTAGAAAAGAGTGTTTTT